ATGCCACGTTCTGTCTGTGCCCACTCCTTTTTTTCTACCCTGTCTTGAACAAAAAAGTGGCAGATGCATGTTATGTTATCTGTAACACACTGGGGTTCCATCTTGCCATCAAGAATTCCTCAATATTGAAATTTTTAGGTGCAAAAGAAGCCATCAAAATGTGAAGAAAAATAAATTTCCAAACTAAAAGCTTGAGTAAAGAGGTTTACATCCAGCCTTACATGCTTTGCTGGGCACAACATGTCAGAACTTAGAGACATCTCATGACCAGGGGTTTGGTACTGCACCAGCAGCAGCTGCTGGGACCTGACAGAGCTTTCTTCTCATAAACTGCCTCATAAAGTCCTGCCACAAGCTGCTTCATGCTCTGGATCCACCCTGGGCACTGGGGCACCAAAGGAACCACTACCTGGCCTGAAGCGCAGGAACAGGACTCAGTGCAGATGGAAAAGTAACGGTCTTTATCAGTGTTTAACAGCTGGCAGCTCTGTGGTTTCATGTACTTCCCATTGCTGCAACAKCTATTTTAGGCAAATGATCATCTTAGAGATCATCACAGAAATTTCCCTGATCACCGAAGAAGGATATTAAAGCAGCTAAAGCCAAAACTGCAAAGTTGGTCAGAGGTCTTGCTGCCTAAATCACTGGGGATTCTGTCGCTGCCTCAGGCCATCCCCAGATGCAATTTCTTTGCTTTCCTCCTCACCCACTGTGCTCGCTACATTGCTCCAAGGTAATTTATAATCAAGGTCAGGAAACCGGGAGAAGCCTGAAGGGTTGGTAGTAAGCAAATCTCTCTTATTGGTGGCAGCTTTTCCTGACTCCGAGGGTGTGCCAGAGCCCTCGCAAGCTGCATGTGCCACCCTGTGACTGCAGCAAGGGCACAGCTGCAGCGCAGCGCTCGAGCACGCAGCGATGCTGCAAAACACTTCAGGACAAGGGAGAGGCAAACAGAGCAGGAATTCAGGCTCTGTTTTCTCACAGCAGTGCCCAGACTGCAGCATTTGGGCAAGAAACCTCAGCTGAGGCGGTAAAGTGCTCTCTAGACTCTGGGAATTCCCCACATTTCTGTGCTAGGCAAAGGCCTAGCTGGTGACATGGCCTGACTTGCCTGGTGCAAGCCACAGAGCCCATTYCAATGATTCCTGAATGGCACAGACCAAATCCCATCTTCTCGCCTGAAGAACTACTTCTGTCTTACCTGCCCACCTTATCTAAGGAGAGGGATGGGCCACCTCGAGACAGCACATCTCATTTGTGCCACCCTGACCCCAGGGAGTTTCTCACCCCCTGGCAGGATGACCACAACTGCAATGGCCTTTCTCTGCCTTAATGCAAATCTCTGATGGTGGGGACGGGCAGGGAGCAGGTGAGAAGACACAGTTGTGAGCATGGAGTCCCAGACAGCTCCAAGGCCAACTGCAGAACAGGCAGGACTCACACAAGGCGCAGTGCTGGGTCTGGGAGCCAGCTCTCTCTCTATTGGCACAGAAGCAACACAACTGCACGGAAGGGGTAATGTCAAAGTCATCTTTAGGGCCAGGAAGGGATTCCGAGATCCTGCCATCCAAGTTAGGAAACACCAGACCCCGGGAGCCCACGCGCTCCCAGCTCAGCACACGCTGCCACACCCACGCGTCCCTGCTGCCAAACGGGTCTAGMACAAACTGAAGCTGCACCGTGAGCCTGCCTGATCTCCTCACTCACCCACCCGCTGCAAGAACTGGGTGCAGCTGCAAATGAAAGGAGACAGGAGTCARAGCAGCCTCGCCTGGAGAAAGGGATGGAAGGCCTAATCCCTGGGAACAGAGAGGGAAGGCTCCACTGAGGTGCAGAACCATTTTTGAGGAGCTATACGATGGTGTTTCTCCTGGCTGAGGACCTGCCCTGCCCTGATAAGCACCTTCACCTCATACCCTGCACATGCTGCTCCACTGCTCTGTTCTCATAGCTTTTTTTTAATTCTATTTCTAAAACCCATCTCACTTACCTGAAAAGGTGGCTCCATCCTGTGCTGAGGACAGTGTGCCAAATCCACAACCTGCCATCCCCTCATTTCTGTGCTGCACATCTGTTACACATCTGCCTGGACTGGTAACACATGCTCTGCACTCTCCTCTGCCAACAGGTCTCGTTTTCCTCTCTGGCAACCTCTGCTAATGAAAACTCCTCTCTCATTTCTCCTTTTCATTCCTCCCTTCTCACCCTACTTTCAGAGATTTCCAGTTACTCCTCAGCTGCAGCTCCCCAGGGTCCCTGGTCATAGTGAGACACATCTGTGGTCTCCTTCTCCTGTGCTCAGACCTGCCCCCATGCCCCAGCCCAGCTGCTCCTCTGCTGACACCAGCTTTTATTTCTTCCCAGCAGGACTGCACGTTGCATTTCCTCTGGAAGCCATGTCCTATGTSCCTGTTACTCCACAAGCTCACAAGCTTCAACACGTGTCCCAAAAGAAAACGTCACAAAGCAGCTGTTACAGGCAGCAGGGGATAAACCTCTCCAATGAAATTAAATAAAAGCCATTTTGGCAAGGATTCCCACTGCAGTGCTGGGAACTCAAATSCCAAAGTGGCACATGAAGTTGGGGCAGTTGGGCTTGTGGATAAACAGGGCCTTTGTCACAACCTGAGAACACAGATCTGCTGCAGCTACACCAACACTGGTTAAAAACAAAAAAAAGACAATGAGAAAAAGCTACTTTCAAACAAGGCCASGAAGAGGCAAAGACAGCTCACAAATTTTATTTTAAAGCATTAGCTGCGCTTCCATGAATAATTACAGACTAGGGAACACAACCATGCTCAGAGCCAGCAGTCAGATCTCGGGGAGCGCCCAATGCTGGGATCCAAACCCTCCCCAGCACTGCAGCCCTGTGCCTGCCTGGAAGCAGCAAGAACTGAAACCACCTAATCTGTTTGCTTTTCCAAGCTAAATATAGGACAAAGGAGTGAAAGGCRCAGATGGCGAAAGCTCCGCAAGTTTTTGGGTTCTCCTGCTCTAGGAATTTAAGCTGCTAAAGCACAACACAAAGCTGAGCCTTGTCAAATACCTTCACAAATGGACAAAGCCACGCCGTGACCACCATGGCCACCCTGTCACACACGTGACATGGGATCACAGGAGCTGTCAGGTGAAACATCTCATTCACATTTTCCTGATCCAGCTGCCTCTCCAGAGCGCTTCCTTGCAAATTTTAGAAGAGGGACAAAAATACAACCCCATGCAGAAAGGACTCCGAGTGGAGACACAACATAAAGAACAAGGAATTATTTSACACGCAAATGTGAGCAGAAAAATAAAGACAGATTAATGATTTAGTAGCAAAATTCTTCCAGMCAAATGAGTGTGGCTGGAAGAAAACCCAAAGGGAGGGTGAAGAGGAGGTATTTGGAGGAAACAAAACCGGAACAAAAAAATTTTATACACCATTAAACTGGGCTCAAATTGCATTTCTGCAAAACATTCACAATCCTTGTGCAAGTGAGGGGCAGGATCAGATCAATCAGCCAAATGACAAAGTCCAGCCAGCAGGAAAACAGGCAGAGATGCTTAATGTTTTGGGACTCCTTGTTCTTCTTGGAACTRCCCAAAGGAGACACAGGTAAACACTAAGAATTGGCCCAATCAGAGGGRAAAAGGGACACTCTGGGCAGGAACACGATGTAATAGTGTAAGGTAAAGGAGAYGGAAAAGGAAAATTAAGCAAAAGCACCTGCAAAATTGTATTTATGTAAAAAAGAGACTTATCCATGAAAACAACACCCACAGGAGCAGCACCCAGGGATAAAGCCCAGCYCTGTTCCATCCTCCTTTAAGAACTGCTTTCACTCTCTCTGTGTGGTACAAAATACTTCAATGCCTCCTGACCAGGAGGCTGAATACGTAGTGAGCACAACACACCTGTGTGAGGTAAATAAGACAGAAAGCACGGAGGTTTGGGATGTCAGGTCCAGCAAAAATCCACACGTTGGGTCTAGCAACCAGTCCCAGAGCAGCTCCAGCAGCAGCTCCATCACCCCTCGTTCGGGACAGTGSCAGAGGCATGGAGCAACTGGTGACTCCAAAACAGACCCTGCACTGCCCATTCAGGGTGTGAGGGAATGGTCTGGAACTCCAGACACTCCCAGGAACCACCTCAGAGGGCTGCGACTCGTGGATCACACCAGCACTGACCCCAAGCTGCCCACACAGGTCACTTCAACCCCCTCACCCTGCAGCTGAGCGTGTCCAGCAGCAGGGATGGAAAGGAGCAGCTCAGGAAGCGCAGAGGACAGAGCTGTGCCCTCCCCTGCCCCCTCACAGCCACGGCACCTTCCTGCTCACCATCCTCTGATCCCGCAGCGATGCACAGCGAGGTCATGCCCGCAGCCGTGAGAGAACACGGGCAGTTTTTCTGTAGCCGGGCAGGGAAACTGAGGCACCGCTATGTGCCCAAGGCCCGCCCCGAACAGCAGCAGAGCAGCCGCTGCATTTCACATAGGGAGCACCGGCTTTTCCTCAACGCCCCTCGCAGCGCCCTTGGTGAACTTCACGGAAAATGACGGAATACCACACAAACAACCCCCCAGCGCCGGTGTCACCCCCGGGCTCGTCATGTTCCCCTCACGCCTCACGAACTTCCACCGCCGCTGCCCTCGGCCCAGGGCCGGCACCGCCGCGGCCGCGCTGGGCACCGGCACCGGCACCGGGCACCGGCCCGGGCTCGGAGGGCTCTGACCCCGGGGACAGGCGGCAGGACCGCTCCCGTCAGGCCCGGCCCGCTGCCCCCGGACACCGGACTACAGCCCGCCGGGCCCTCGGACACCCCCGAGCCTCGGACAGTCCCCCCCGGGCCGGCAGCTCCACAGCCCGAACGCGCCCGCAGCCCCCCCGGGCCCGGCAGCTCCGCACCGGCGCTGCCCAAAACCTCCAGGCCCAAGCCCCTCGCAGCCCCCCGGGAGGAGGAGGAGGGGGAAGACAGGGAAGAGGATGAGGAGGAGAAGGAGGAAGAGGAGCCTCACCGGGAGAGGTGCTTCAGGATCTGCTTCTTGATGATGCCCGCCATGCCGGGCCGGCGGGTCAGGCCCGCGGGCGGCGGGACCCCATGGCGCACCGCCCGCTCCGCACCGCCCGCCCCCTTCCCGCACCGCCCCCCGCCGGCCCCTTCCCGCACCGCCCGCCCCCTTCCCTTCCCTGCCCTTCCCTGCTCTTCCCTGCCCGCACCGCCCCCTGGCCGCACCGCACCGCCGCAGCCGCGCTCCAGCCGTGTGCGGGAGGGGGTGGCCGCAGTGACCTCCGGACCCTCCCCAAGATGTCCAGGGACCCGCTCCGGGRCCCCGACCTGGAGCCCTCTCCAGCACCAACCCAGGACCCCCAGGAACCCACCCCGAGATCCTCCAAGATTCCTCTCCCATGGGCTCCAGGGACCACCCCGGGACGCCCCTAACAGAGCCCACTCCAGGACCAACGTGAGATCCCCCCCTTCCCCCCAGTCCTGCAAGGACCTGCCCCAGGACCCCCTACCTGGGGGCTCCCCTGGGACCCCCACCAGCCCTAAACTTTCTCCACTGCTCCCCATCCCTATTTTCTTCCCCAAAAGACAGTMCAGAACAAGGCTCCGAGTCCATATGGAAACAACATAGCTTTATTGTTGTATCATTAACTGGGGGGAGGGGGGAAATAATAATACAACTGAAGAGACACCCAAAAAGCCAGGCCTCGTACAAGTCAGTGCAGGGTTTGTCCATCCGCACGCACGCTGAGGTGACAGCAGAGTCCCTCCACACACTGAGTACAAAACCCCAGGGGACACAGGTCTGTGGCATTTATCATAGGGAAGGTCCTAATATGAAATGGCAGCTTCATCTCCACCTTTATCTGTCTGGACGGGTCATTCCTGGCCTGGTTGGCACCATCATGGGTCTGGAGGGGGGTCTCATCATTGGGGGCCCTGGCATCATTGGCATGTGTCCTCCCATGGGTGGCCTCATCCCGGGAGCTGCCAGGGGAAAAGACAAGTTAGAGAACGGCTCTTGGGACCACCAACTGTCCAGTCATCACAGAACATCGATGGTTTGGGTTGGGACGGACTGTAAAGATCTATTTCCACTCCCCTGCCATCGGCAGGGACACTTTCCTCTATCCCAGGTKGCTTCAAGCCCCRTCCAGCCTGGCTTTGGACACTTCCAGGGATCCAGGGGCAGCCACAGCTTCTCTGGGCACCCTGTGCCAGGGCCTCCCCACCCTCACAGGGGATAATTTCACACTGTACAGTGGGCAGGTTCTCTCCCCTGCTCCAGGGAACTCGCATTTTCCAAGTCTGCAAGCTCTGATATTGCAACTGCCGAGATGGATTCCATTCCCTGAGGGGCTCAGCCATYAGCAGAGGAGGAACCAAGCTCCTGGGTTATACACCCATTCTGACAATATTCACTCACAAATTATTTCCAGGCACTCGAGAGAGACATGAGCTTAATTACTGATCTGGAAAGTTCATTTGGAGAAAAATGCTGCAAAACCATCCCATGTGCTCACAAACAAGCACTGAGCACCTCTGCCAGGAAAAAACAAGGCTTCTACTGCCCAACCCTTGAAAYAATGGTTTCATGCCACTTTGCCATTTATTTTCACCAGGCTGCTGAATATCAGACTGTGCATTTATCTTGTGCCTTTAAAAACACTTAAACAACACTTTCCAGCACAAGACAATAATTGCAAAGACACTTCACTACTTTCAGTGCACGTGTGTGTGTGTTCCCGTGGATTTGTTCTGGGAACCATTCCAATAAGATATCCCCTGAGAATTCTTCAAATGCCAGGAAGCTCAGGAGTGGAATGGATCAAAGACATTTCAGTTTACAGTTCTGATAAAGCCATTTTCAGGCCCATTGTTTCCCTGGAACACGTTCCCCTGAGACGCTTTGAAAGAGTAAAATTCATTTAGTGTAAAAACGTGCTCCTTGTGCAAAACCTGAGACCTGGAGGCACCAAACTCCTAAACAATTATTGTTCAGAGCAGAGAGAGAACAGCTACAATTTCCCAGTGCCCTAATTCCAGCTGCACAGGGGGTTAGTAACTCTCAGCAAGGAGGAAAGAAGCTTTAATGAGTGATTGCAAAACTGTTGTAGTCTCTCCATGCAGGGCTAACAGTGACCAGAGTGTGACCAGCCCAGCTCTGAGCTCCCAAYAGATGATGGGACAGCAAACATCACCCAGACCCCTCTACCCAGCCCCCATGGCACAGTTACCCCATCCCAAACTTACCAGGTCCGACTGGCATCATTCCCGGGGGGGGTGGGCCCATCATTGGCATCATCGGGGGCCCCCCCATGTGTGGGGCTGGCATCATGCCAGGCCGGGGGGGGCCAGCTGGACAGACACAAYAGTTACACACGGGCACTCTCAGCCACCAAAGGACAATGCAGTTATTCACAGCATGTGGCAGTAACTAAGGCCTCAGTGGCTTCACATCTGCCTGCATTCCAGCCCTGATTCCAGGTGCTAGGAAGTGACCACAGGAGGAATATGCTGGGCTACCAACTCCAGCTGTGCCCACCCAACACAGGGAACTCCCAACAGCAGGACTTGGGACTGAGAGGGCTCTGGGCCCTTCACCAGCTCAATGGTAAAAGGTCACCCAAAATTATTCTATTTAAGAAAAACCAACCCAAATCAACCTGCTATGTAGATCTAATGGAGTCACCTGCATGGGAATCCCCATGAAATGTGGGGCTCTCATTGCTACTGATGGACTCAGCATCCCAGAAATCAGACACAGTAATGACTGAACTCTCTTACAGAGAATTCCCTCCCATTGTGGGAGCACAAGCACAAAATGTCTTAACTTGGCTTCAAACTAAAAAGTCTGTTTTTTCCAAGGTGAGAACACAAGAAATACAGCTCCAGAGTATGATTCCAGTCCCAACCCTAACCCAAACTACCCCAAACTTACGGATGCTGGGAGGAGGYGGAATCATGGCTCCAGCTGGAGGTGGTGCCGAAAACGGCGTCGGTGGAATTTTCCCTTGCTGGAATGCAGCCGCTACATTGGGGGGGAAAAGAAAAAAAAAAAAAAGGAAAGAAAGAATCCCAGGAAAAAAAAAAACCAGTTACTAGGCCGAGGAAGCGCCGGGTCACTCGTCCGTGTCATGCCCCGCGGTCACGTCATGCTGCGTGCGCTGCCGTCCCCACGCCGGACACATCCCTGGCACCTGGGGAGCACCTGAGACTCCTGGAGACAATTATTGTTACAGCTGGGACTAGAGAGCTCCTGTGTGGATGTCACATCCCTGGGCAGGGCGGGCGGGTGGGTGGGAGAGAAAAAAAAAAATCAACCACGTCGCGGGATCCGCAGCGTTCCACCGGGACATGCTGTGCTGGAATGGCAACGGGGCGAGGGCTGGGGAGGGGCAAGGAGCAGGAAATGGGGTGCAAGGAAGGGGAGAGATTCAACTGGTGTTGACTGGAAGGAGGGCAAAGATGGGRGAGCTGGAAGCATCACAAGGAAAATGGTCAAAGGGGAAATAGAGTAAGGATGAGTTGGGGGAAGTGCGGACTGGACATTTTGCGAAAAACTCTTCACTCAGAGGTGGTTGGGCACTGGAACATTCCCCAGGGAAGTGGGCATGGCTCTGAACCTGTCAGAGCTCAGGGAGCASCTGGATGATGCTCCTGGACACATGGTTTAGACTTAGGCAGCCCTGCACGGAGCTGGGAGCGGGACCAATGATCCTCAGGGATCCTTTCCAACCTGAGATACCCTATGAGCCAACTGCCACAAAGTTATTCTGGTGTTTGCATTTCTTTCACAGAGAAAAAAGCCATTCCTCAGAGGAAAGAGAAAGCTTTTCCTCCTCCTCAATGTCACGCTTTGGTCAAGCCTTTAAGTGCCAGTAAAAARCATCCTTTGGGAGCTGAGGGCAAGCARCCCCMSCATGTGAAAAATGCAACAATCCARATGTTTTWATGTCCATTTTCCTRTCTTTTGGAATCCCTMTCCATGCTCTCAGCATAAATGTGCCACTGCCAAGCAGCACAAGTGTGTTATGTGGCCCTGCAGGACATTASTGAAGATGATGGCACTGCCAACCCTCATGAACAGTGACAGGAGGTTCAGCCACCAGCCCTGGGAGGGAACTTTGGTTCTTGTGGCAGAGCCCTTGGGACAGCCCACTCTGAGAAACTCAGATCCAGACTCCAAATTTTCACTTACGATTCACTGAACAAAGATTCCTCAAGAAAGTGAGGGAAAGTCAAAGKGGAAGCACGGAAGAGCAGAAGAAAAGGCAGGGGAAGGAATGGGGAGGCAGCTGGGGTCACGGACAGATTGGCCTTACTTGTTTTATCAATCAGGCTCTGGGCTTGCTCCTCCATCCATTTCTGGTAATAGTCTTTCACGTTCTCTTTGTGCTTCCGGCCGCTGCAGTGGGTTTTTCTCACGGAGGGCTAGGAAAGGTYACAGAAACCCAAAATTCAGTATGGTTTTAAGTACATGCAATGAAGCAGCATAAAGCAGCTTTGTTTCTGTGCTCAGTCGGAGGACAGGTGATGTGCAAAACTTATATGCATAAATAGTAAGTGCTGACTCTCCAGTTTTACCCTGAGGCACCCCCAAGTTGTCTCCCCTGACCCTGTCACTGTCCCGCTGGAGACCACCAGGGACATAGCACGTTTTCCTTTTTTTTTTTGCATGGAAGGGGAAAACACGAAGTAACACCGCTGCATCCCATGGGACCTGCTTTTCACCCAGATAATTTTTATTTACGTGCTGTAAATGTACAAAAGAAGCTTTGGTACTCACCGAGTCATGGGTGAGGTACGTGTCACAGTAATCACAGTAAAACCTGCCAGGGGAAAAYCATGTTATTCAGAGTCCCTTTTGCGCTGTGAGCGTTAACGGAGCCCCGGAATGACCGCGTAGAGCGCCAGGGCTCGGCCCGCCCGCTCATCCGCGCTGTTCATGGCCTTGGTCCCACAGAGAGCACCGAACACCGCTCGGACACCCCGGACTGACCCCGAATCCCGCCCGGTACCGCGGGGAGCACCGGGCCGGGATCCCGCACTCACTTGGGCATGGTGCTCCCGCCGCCGCCGCCAGCCGGAAGTGGCGCACATACGCAGTGACGCACACACGCAGCGCCGCCGCTCGTCGCTTGACCCCCGCCGGCTGCCGTAGGTCGCGGAAGTGGCTGCGGGTGAGCGCCGTTCTGTCTCACTCCGCCCGGCAGGTGGAGCCATGCGCGTTCTCCCGTTGCTGTCCGGTCACGGCATTATGGCCCACCCGCGGACCCGTCAGCGCCACCAGTGCCCCTCATAGAGCCCGGCGCGCGGGGGTCGTTGGGGGTCCCCCGGCGGCGCTCCCAAGGCGTGTTCCCCCGATTGTCCGTGTTCTCCTCACGGAAAACACACCGTGCTTCAGATCACGGGCCGCGCAAGGAGCGACCTCGCGCGGCCGAAAACTGCAAAAAATACCACCATTTTTAAGGGGAAAAAAAACACCGAACAGGCTCCCGTCGGGCCTTGCGCCGCTCATTTGCATGGCACCGCATGACGTTCGGTGGTTCATTTGCATACGCAAACACGCGCGCTCGCCGCCATATATGGACGGCAGCGCGCGAATGTGTGCGAACACGGCCGATAGCCCCGCCCCCCGGTGACGCAGCGCCCCCGCGCGCGGTTCGCGCGGGAGCCTTCGCGTCACGCGCGGCGCTCATTTGCATGCTCGGCCCCGCCCCCTCGCCCTTGCCACGCTCCCTCCCTCCCCCCCCGCGGGCACGCGGCCCCGCCCCGCATCGCGTGTGGGGTGACGCCGGAGGGGTGACGTCGCGTGTCGCGCGCCGCG